CCTCTAGTATTAGCAGGACTGTGTGTAATGCATCTAATTTTGCTTGCTTTTTCAGTGTCATAAAGCTGTTGAATTTACCTGAATAGTCTTTCAGGTGGAAAGTTGGATCAACAGATGCTAACTGTTGTCCGATGTTGACTTACTAATGTCGGTCCTGAAACCAGTCATTTCATCAAGTTTGGACTGCTGGCACCTTTTGTTGGTACTTAGACTGCTAGCGCTAACAGCTCCCACAGTTTCTGTGCTCGCTGCAACATGTTTTGCATCTAGATGGAACTGTAAGCTTGAAGTGATTTGGTGGTCTTTGGTGGTCACAACTCCTTTGTGCACAGTTTGCACAAAACCAAACTTTTATCAAGGCTTTACTTAGTAGTCTTTTGGAAATGAAGTTTGCCTACGATCAGTCCTAGCAGCATGCTTTCTTCTGAGTCTTCCATTTTTGTAGCTGTTTGCATCAGTGTAATCGTATACCAGGAAATCATGACATGGACAAAACTTCCGATTTGCTTGGAACGCAAAGTGCGATTAAATGCTTTAATTTTTTTAACGCGTTTCTTTTTTTCAAATTAATTAATTGCAATTAAAGCATTTAATTCACCCCTAAGAAATATAAAAAGTAACAAGTAGAAGAGAAAAATCTAAAATGTGTCAGAGAAATACATAGGTATATACTGATTTAAAAAACAATATTACTGCAGAGTGGAGAATTACAGCTAAGGGCTTTCGTGAGGATGTAATAAATAGTTTTTACTCTTTAGAACTTTTTCCACCTGGATAACTGAACTTCCAATGGCAAATTACATGATATTTTCTCAAATATGTGTGTGTTTTCTATCATTTTTGTCTATGCAGACCTCCCACTACAACATGACTGTAAGGAGGAAGAAGTACTCATAGACCAGCAGGTCTGTAACCAGGAGAGGAGCTCCAGTCTGGACCAGGACTCAGAGCCCCCACAGATTAAAGATGAAAAGGAGGAGCTATGCATCAGTCAGGAGGGAGAGCAGCTTGCAGTGAAGGAGGAGGTTGATACTTTTACAGTCACTCCAGGAGCAAACACTGACCTGCTCCTTTCTTGCAAGTCTTCTGAAACTGAGAGCCAAAAACAGGAAGAAAGCAAGCATGTGCTCTCAGGATTGATTATACATTTTGAGCTGAAGAACACATCACAACAGACAAATAAGAGTCAGAGTAACACAGTAGACACCTGTCTCGAATCAGAGAGTCAGGGTAAAACTGATACAAACAAAAAGCCTATAAAATGTGAAACTTGTGGAAAAACATTTCGGTTTGACTGCCACTTAGCAAAACACGCACGAGTTCACACGGGTGAGAAACCTTATACTTGTAGCAATTGTGGAAAAAGGTTCACTCAGATGGTAAACTTGAAAATTCACATGAGACTACATACAGGTGAGAAGCCATATACTTGTAACACCTGTGGGAAAAAGTTTACTTTCTTATCACCTTTCAAAATCCATGTTAAACATCACGCAGGTGACAGGCCATTTCCTTGTAGCATCTGTGGAAAAAGATTTGTTATAAAGGCGGGACTGGAAAGTCACATGAAAAGTCACACAGGTGAGAAGGCGTATCCATGTAGCACCTGTGGGAAAAGATTCTCACTGAAGTCAGGATTGGACAGTCACATGACAATCCACACAGGTGAGAAGCCTTTTTCCTGTAGCACCTGTGGGAGAAGATTCAGAAAAAAATCAATATTGGAAGGCCATTTAAGAACGCACACCGGTGAGAAACCTTTCCCCTGTACCTACTGTGGGAATGTATTCAGTCGGAGGGTAAACTTGAAAACACACATGAGAAAACATACAGGTGAGAAGCCGTATTCCTGTAGTGAGTGTGGGAAAAGATTTAGTAGCTTTTCAGGATTCAAAAATCATATGAGAATCCACTCAGGTGAAAAACCATATTCTTGCAGCACCTGTGGCAAAAGATTCACTCAGCGATCAGGACTGGAAACACACCTGAGAATTCACACGGGTGAGAGGCCACATACTTGTGGAACTTGTGGCAAAAACTTCAGTGATTCATCAGCAATCAGAAAACATGTGAGAGTCCACATAGGTGAGAAACCACATACTTGTGGTGCCTGTGGAAAAAGTTTCAGTGATGAGTTGAAATTCAAAAGTCATCTCAAAGTTCACACAGGAGAGAACTTACGTTTCTGTAGTGTCTGTGGAAGAGGATTCACTCAGGTGAATCACTTGACAAGACATATGAGAACTCACACAGGTGAGAAGCCATATTCTTGTAGCACCTGTGGGAAAGGATTTGGTGACTTATCAGGGTTGAAAAGACACATGAGAATCCATACAGGTGAAAGACCATATTCCTGTACCACCTGTGGGAAGACTTTTAGTGACTTAACAGGATTCAAAACTCACACAAGACTTCACACGGGTGAAAAGCCATATTCCTGTAGTGTGTGTGAGAAAAGTTTTATTCAGATGATACACTTAAAAAATCATATGAGAAGGCATACAGGTGAAAGGCCACACTCTTGTAGCATCTGTGACAAAAGATTCAGTTATGCCTCAAACCTGAAAAATCACATGAAAAGTCACACTAGTTAAGTGTCCCACTCACTTAAAAAGCTGACCTCATATGCATTTTATTTCCATAACATTAACAAACTGTACCGATCATGTATTCAATTTGCTGTCCTATTCTTATGATAAATGGCAGCAGTGTGTACCTGTCCTGTACCACTACACTTGCTGTTTTTCGGATAATCAATCAATAATTATCTTGTGGGGCATAAGTTTGACACCCCTGATGTAGCGGAAACCCTGATTTTATATTTGTCTGAATTTATTTTTGTTGTTGTTTTGTTTTAGGCTGTAGACATGACAAACATAAGTTGTAGATGTAGGTTGTGTTTTAAGAAATACCTTTCTTATAGAAAATCAAGGATAGATGAACTTCATGCTTTTTATGGAAAACTTTTAATTCAGTTGTTCAGAGTTTAGCAAGAAAGTGCCACACATAGGACAGAAATACGTCATTATGGACTTGACGAGCTATTCATATTAATGAAAATTAACCTTCAGTGTGTGTTGAACGGTTATGAGTTTTATGCAGTTCAAGTAAAGTTTTAAAAGTAATCCTTATATATTTTTCTGAGTAGTAATATCTAAGATATAAAGGAAACATAAATTCTGCCTTATTTCACACATTTTTCTTGGTTACTGATATTTTTTATATAAATGTAGAAGCAGATTCTTTTTTTCTTTTTTGTACTATTTGAATAAACATGTCCTCGTCTGTGTTATAGTTCTTGTTTAGCAGCAGATTCACAGTTCAAACTGCATGAAAATTTTATCAATTTTGGTGATCATGTCAACAATTATTTGTATTGAATTTGATGTGAACTCAGTAACATAGGGTTTGACCTGCTTGATATGAAATATATATACTCTCTATTGGTTTAATGTGCAGTCTAATGAGAGGGATGCATCGAAGTAACCAACTGAAATGATTAGAAGCAAACCTTTTGTGCAAATGTGGTTTTAATATTTTTTTCAACAAGATGGGGAAAAGTGTTTTTACCTTAGATCAAATTTTATAATGGTATTTTGGTTACAGGCAACTTGTTACACTGCAGGAGCTTTGCATGAGTCACGGTCAGAACGAACCTGATATACTGAATACTGCACCTTGGCGCAGCCCCACAGTTCATCCTCCATCTGAAACGAGGAATTTTACTGAATTTTACTGTTTTGTCAAACTTCGCACATCTGTTGCAAAACAAAATAAACCATTAAAACCATCTTCTCGCTTCTCAAAAGTAATTCCTGGCATAAAAACAATACACACAGCTATTATCTGCTGTATTGTTTCATTAGGGAGTTTCACAGCAGATCATCTGCTTACATCTGATTCATCTTGTGTTACACCAACCCACTGCATGTCCTCCTTCACCACATCCGTGAACGTCCTCTGTTCTCTTCCTCTTTTCCTCCTTTAAAGCTCTAGTCATTACCTTTCCTTTCCCTCTGCCCTAGCCCTCCTCTGCACGTGCCCAAACCATCTCAGTGTTGCCTCTCTAACCTTGCCTCCAAAATGCTTGAGCTGAGCTGTCCATCAGATGTATGAATCTTGTCCATCTTGGCAACTCTCAATGAAAATCTGAGCACCTTGAGCTCTGCTTTCTCCAGTTTGACCTTCTGTCTTTTAGTTAGTGTCACATTTCCCAAACCATAAATCAAAGCAGGTCTCGCTTCCATCTTTTAAACCTTTCCTTTCAACTCTTGCAGCTATCCTTCTGTCACAAATCACCCTAACACTCATCTCCACCCACTCCACCCCGCCTGCACTCTGTATATTTGACACACAATCATGTGACATGACCATCAAGTAAATTTTAAAATTAGACCGAGATAATCCAAGTAAATACAAAATGCAATTTTAAACACCCATTTTATTTATTAAGGGAAAAAGCTATCCAAACCTACCTGCCCCTCTGTGAAAAAGTAATTACCACTGCCCTCTCTCCTCCATACCTCCACAGATATGTCATCTGGACCAACTGCTTTTCCACTCATTATCCTTCATAGCTGCTGTAACCTACCCCTTACCAATCTCTTCCTCATGCACTGTCTCTCTGCCATCTGTCCTCCTCTCTTTTTTATTTTCCAGCCATCCATTTATTTTCTTCCGTTCATGCAGGGCCAGGTCACGGGGGCAGCAGCCGAAATGCCCTCATTAGTGCATTTCCAGCTCTATCCTTAATCACCCTAACCTACTGCACTTCCCTTCCAGTTTAATCTCGCTTTAAACTTCAGATCCTGTCAGACACTTTTAGTGAATATACACAGCAGTAACATAAAGATATTTCATAGAACATATAGCTCCTGTCCTTCAACAGCTTCACTGGCTTCCTGTAAAAGATCGTGTTAATTTTAAGTCTCTCCATAATCTCATACATCCATAACTCTCTGATCTTCTGAACATCACTACTCCTTTCCTGCTCTGTTACTGATTATATCATCTGCTCACACTAACTATCACTCTCAAACCACCACAGGCAAAGTGTTTTAGGATATTTGTGAACTGGAAAATCTTCTCTACCGTCTTTTACATGGTCCCTGAATGCAGCATCAGTGTTTCACGTTATGTGTCCTGTGAATAAACTCACACAAAGTGATATTGCAGACACTAAAATCTCTCTTTACTGATGTTGCTGAAGCTGCAGAAGTTTTACTTAGTTATTATTCTGAAGCTGTATCATCTAACAGTGTAGAATTGGTTTCTTCAGCTTCAGCACAGACTGTTTAAAAAACATCAAGACTATTAAGAAGAACAAGCAGCAGCGAAACAGAACCAGCAAATGTGTAAAGAACACACACAGTTTAACTTGGTTCAAACATTAAACAGAGAGCCTTAACGAAAATGTTTCATCATGGGCGTAGAGAGCTCTCACATAGAAAAAGTGGGCAAAGGGAGCCATCTAGTGGACAAATACAGACATGACGACTACAAACTAAACTACAGAGGGATAACAAACAGCTGAAAATACTTCCTTACACTCACAGAATAATTAGGTTAATCCATTTATATGCATGTTTAAGATGGATAACAATTAAAATGATGCAGCATTTATGCATTTTATGTCTTGCAACAGTAGCAGCGTTTACATGAAGTCAACAGGTGAACACTCTTCTTCCTCCCTTTATCTCTCCTCACATGCTGCTGTACACCCGCCCTTTTTTGTTAAACCTTGTAGATAGTTTTCTATTTAATTAAATTGCTGAAATTAACTAGACTTATTTAATGAGTTATTTAATTTAATTTTCTCTGAAATTATTCTTAGTTGATTTTATTATTTAATTTTTGGGAGAAAAAAATCAACTGGCAGTAATTTACTTATGTTTCAAACAATGATTATGTAGAAGGACACTAGGACCCGGGGACCGTTTGGCTGTGAAAGAACAGGGATTGATTTAAAAACATGTCAGCAGACCTGTCTGTGGAGTTCTTTGCTTCCAATCATGGCAAACATGTCAGTGGGGTGATAAAATTAGCCCTGAGATGTCTGAAGGTGGCACTGTGAAGAAGCTAAGAAGAAGCTGAGCTCGAGGCTGCTCATGTAATTAACATTCCAAAATAGTTGATTTCAAGAAAAATTAACATATCGTTATTTTTGCATTGCTTTTTACTCCTTATTTGTTCTCACTCCTCCTTCCATCATCCTTGATCCTGCACCCAGGATTTTCAGTTTTTGAGCGTGCACTCTGAGTTAATTCAGTCAGGGTTGGTTTATTATTATTTCGATTGGTTTGGTCTTTGGTTTACTACTGTAGTTCCCTGTTTCCCTTGTACAGTGTTTAGTTTGTTGTGAAAATTTTGTGTTATTGGTTCCTTTGTCTTTGTTCTTAGCTCAACTATGTACTTGTACTATTGAGCCTCTCAGTTCTAGAGTCTATTTCCTTCTCATGAGGTTTTAACTTTGATTTCTATGTATTATAAACCTTCAGCTGTTGACATATGTTAGCTTCAATTAATGTCTGCATTCCTGATATCAGCTGAAGGTTATTCATAAATAAAAATGAAATAAAAATTCAAAAATCATAATATACAAAATAGTTATTTTTGAAATTGGGCCCAAAAGCTAATCACAGTTTATAAATACAACCCCGAACATCAGATATAAACCAAATGCATATATATTTACCAACATATACTATAAAGTAAGATAAACCAGTAAAATGTCCTCAGATTAATATAATATCCTAACATACAAATAATACTAAGCTAGACAGTATGTAGATATGAAAACAATGGTCTAAATCTCATATAGAGTGCTAGTGCAAGCTTTGACGGATTGTTAACCACATAGGGTTTGAAATCAAACACAATTTAATAACAACTGTTTAAAGTCTGTTTGAAAACAGAGAAAGATGTTAATATTTTTATAGTGGTTTGAGACTTGTTCTAAATTTGCAGACCTCTATAGGTCCCACTAAAACTTCGCATTACTCTCCGCTCAGAAGTTCCTTCAGTGTTTCCCCTTGTTTTCCTGTGTAGTTTATTCACATTTACTGTTTATTTCCGAGTTTCAGTTATGGTAGTTCCTTCTTTTGTGTTGCTTTACTTTCCTTTCTGCCTCATTATTTGGATTAAGGTGATCTGTGATGCATGTGACTCAGATATTTCTACTTCCTTTGACTCCATTCTCTCTGTGTGTATTCATAGCCTCAGTTTCCCTCCATTTCCTGTTGTGCTGTACAGCTTGTTCTGCCTGATCGGCTGTCTGTGTTTCCTCATTTGTATTCTGAGTAACTGTTAGTGTTTCCAGTTCTCCCTGTGTTTAGTTTATATATTAGTTTATATATTAGTCACATTTATGGACTTTTGATTTTAGTAAATGTATCACCCTAAATAAATGT